TTGGGCTCTCTGAACTCAGGATCACCCATGTAGGTATCTACACTTGAGGTGCCCTATGCTGACTGGAATCTTGCCTATCTTCACTGAGTGTTAACCACTGGCACTTAACAGTCCTGGCTGTTGATTACAGGAGAAAAAGTGAAATTCAGCAGATGGTTCGAATCTTACAGGTGACTGTATTATAGACAACTGGTTATTAGCAACATGTAAGTGCTATTATTGCTTCCTTTTAAGTGTTTCTGCTGTGGTACATAGTTAACTTTCGTGTTAGTTAACTTTTCCACACTAGTAGACACTGCTGCATCACTTGACTTGCATTGCTGTTGTGTTCTCCATTCTCTTGGCAGATCCTCATACAATTAGAAATGTGGCAAAACCATTATCATTAATTTTTTTAAAACATGAACTTAAAGGTGGCATTCCTGACAGTCTTCATTTTCTGAGTTGGCATAGCTTTAGGTATAAACCAGAATTTTCCGGATAACTATAGCTGGTGAGATTTTATGCTGTGACTGATTACTTTGAGGGTAAATTTCAGATGAATTCTGTCAACAGTGATAGATTGCTCATTGTTCATTGCAGTCTACCAATCAAGTTAAGCTAATGCAACTACAACATGCTGCAGTTTTTTAAGGATACCAGTGGAGGCTTTTGCACATTATTTTAAATTGTGCCAAAGTCCTGTCAGGATGGATTCCAATTTAGTTTCTCTAAAATAGTTAATAAACACAAAATCTGTGCAGATCTAAACCACTAAAATATTTTAAAATGTGAAGCTTATATTCTTATAGTTCATTAGCTAGATATGCATTTAAATTATATGCTCGTTTTGTATTTTTTCTGATTACTTAGAATATAGTCTGCAAAAGCTTATCTGAAGTGAATATATAAGCAGTGTATATAAAGTCCACTTAAACATGTGCCTTCATCAGCTTGCTTTCACGTAATTGAACTTTGCAAATGTTTATAAATTATTTCCATTTTACCTCTTCTGTTCTGTAGTAAAAATCATTCTGTGTTAAAAGTAATGCATATCTTTTACATTGGTATGTAAACTTCACAGTCAAAACATTATTACAGCATATATATATATATATCTGTACTTGTATATAGATAGGTAGATAGATAGATAGATAGATAGATAGATAGATAGATAGATAGATAGATAGATAGATAGATAGATAGATAGATAGATAGATAGATATACATACACACACACACTTTTTTAATGACACATTTTTAAGGAAACACTAAGAGCAAGGCAGCAAAGAAATACCCAGGTCAGCTCAATATGGTATTTGTTTACCCCTGCAGAAAAGGAATGTAAAGCATTCTATGGCTTTTTAAGGGTATTTATAGGAGTAAATTGTAGGACTACCTTCCTCATGCCAGCAGTCTTATTACCTTCAGATCTCTCATGAATCAGACTTCAGCTGAGTCAGAAGTCATATTAAGTGAGAGGTTTCTAAAGCTCTTTGTTGTTTTAACAGGCAACAGAAAGAAGAAAAACCTTTCTTCTCAGTTTACTTCTTGAATGTCAGTGTTCTCGTGCATATATTTACACTATTCTTACCTTTCTGATAAACATCTTTAGTAAGTAAGAAGTGCTGTTTCAAGGTTTTTTTGTTAAAACAGACTTCTTCAGTGGTGCCGTGCAGATTGATAGGACCATTTCTGTTTCTTTGGAATAGGCAATCATTTGTAGGAACTCTAGCAAATTGTAGATTTTCTATAAAGTTTAGTTCTGTAGAATTTCTATAAAGTTATGATAACACAATTTGTAGTCCTATATCTTTCTTACTTTAGAAAAGATTATCGCATGTTGCTATCTATATAGAAATTTTTACTTCAGACACTCTTTAAGTGATAGAAGTATTTTGATACAAAGTATTCTTAAGATGGTAGGGTTGCATTCACTGGGCTTTGCTTATTTGCTGTTTCTATTTGTGGCTTTGTTGCCTCACCTCGTGGATTTTAGCAAGTTACACTCTCTAGGGCATGATACTGTCATACTAGAAGTGAATTCTAGGTTAATTATTTTTCCAGATTTAAGTCACTGCTGTATGCACTTAATAACTTCAAAGTTCTGTCATAGAGAGCAGTGGCTCAAGAAAGAACGCTGAATCTTGACTGTATGTCAGTCATGCATTACTAAATTTAGCACACGCTGTGAACCCATCTAAGGATTTTCTGCTTGCTGTAATTGACAGATAGCCCTGAGTTTTTGATGTCACAGTTTCTGAAAAATAGTACCTTCTGCAGTGAAAGTAGAAACATTTTAAAGGAAGTATTAAAAGTGGCATGCCCTGAGTAACTATATCCTGGGGACTGTGTTTGTACACGCCAAGGGCAGAATGCAGTCAATAGTGACTTCTCTTGTTGAATTCCTGATAAATTTGTCCAATTCTGTTACCTATTGAGTTGTACGTTAGACTAATCCCCCATTCCCAACTTAAATTTTCTGTGGAGAATATATTCCTCTCATCTTTTTTTTTTATTTTTTTGTGAAATCAGCATTCTGCTGTTCCCTTGTGATATTTGATAAAGAGGCATTTTCAGGTCAATTCAAACATATCTGGCAAATGGTTTCTTTATGTATATATATATACATATATATAAAATAAATATGTATTTACGCACACATATAAAATGTATTTCTTCAGCATGAACCTTATTTTTCATCTTAAGGAGGCTGTGCCCTTTTCTTTGTTCCTTTTAGGAATTATGTAACTTCCAATCTTCAGTTAATTTGCTTTTAATGTATTGTGGTATCCGTAGGTTTCTAGAAATGCAGTCGTAGTTCATTATTCCAGTATCCATGATGTTCCTCTTGTCTTAGAAACTGTCAGTGCTGCTTAATACATCACTTCAGCCATAGCATTCTATCCTTCATTGAAGACCATAAGCTGAAATAAGAAGAGAAATAGTATCTGACACAGAATAAATATATATATGTACTTATCATTTTTTCAGTATCTTTTCTACCAATTGCTAATTACATTCCTATTTTAGTTTCATTCTTGTTTTATATTTATTACTGTTGCAATTTTGAGACAGCAAATTGTAACTGGAAACAGTCCTAAAAGTGAGAGGACAGCGTGCATAAAACCATAGGTATATTGAACGTGGTAGAAATAATGCAAGAAACATGGAAATAGAAGTAAGCAGAAAAATAAATCAATTTATAACAATTTATTGCCTTAATAGTGAATAATTATAGTTTTGTGTTGCTTTGGGTAAAGAACAGAGGATGCTTCAGCTCCATAAACGACAAAACATTTGCCTACCTTTGCCAGACTTCATAGAACATCAGTTGTCATCTTGCTTTTTATTGCTGCAAGGTTGGCCCCTGACTACCAAAGTCTATTATCCTGCCTTTGTACAGTTTCCATCCACACATTCCATTACCTATTCTGTGGATCCTGCCTGTTGAATCCAGCATTTTAAGTCAATTCTGACAAAAGCACCTCCACTGAAGAGAGGGAATGTAGCCATAGCTTCTCTGATCAGTGCTAGAGGCATTTGCTGTTTCTCTGTCTCTTCATCTGGTGGTGTAAACCAGAAAAAGCCCACAAATCTTGACTTCACTGTATAGTATAACACACAATAAGATGTATTCAGCATTGGGGGGGGCGGCACTGGGGCATTTGTTGGTGTAGCCTAATGGCATGCTATTGTTTTGCAAAGAAGACAGGTTTTGAAAGATCTTCCTAACAGGATGGGCTAGTAATTACTGGGTCCTTGTTGAATATTCAGTGTAAAAGTCCAAGCTCTGAGAAAATTAGTTGTTTAGGCTCTCAGGCTGACTTTAATTGCCAGGTTGAAATTTTTTTAGAAGCCCTATTCCAAACAGTTTTCTGTAGCATTCTTCTGATTTTGTATCAGTAAGCTTCCTGAAATAAATTAAAACCTTGAATTCACTCCAAGGCTACTTGTTATATTTAATAACTTGTATGTCCTTAGACAAGGAAAAGGAAATTTTGACGAAAAGATACATCCAGTCCTCTTTGTACTCATAAAAGCATCTTGATATCCTGTTCATAAATTACAGTATTCAGCATACGTGCAAAGATTTTTTTTTAATGTTTGTGTTTATTGATTTATGCTGTAATTTGCATGTTGCAGTTTCTTATTAAGTAAAGCACATTAAATATTTTTATCATTATGTAAACATTAAAGTATTTACTCACATCTGTATTCTTCCAATGCAAATGCCTGATGCTATATGAAAAACTATTAATTTTAACTAAAAAAAAAAAAAATCAATTGTTACTTATTTTCTTTATGATTTTGTATAAATTAATCTGTAATGTCAGAACCAGGAATGGGATATCAAAGGAACAGATTTAACCTTATTCTGAAATGATTATATTTTGGGGAACAGGGTAGGGGGAAATATTACACAATGTGACTTAAACTCATCCACTATTTTGAGGGAGTTTTGTTGGTATTTAAGTGTTCTTATCCAGCTCTTACCTCTCAATTATTATTTTGCCTGTCTTGAAACAGAGTACAGTGACAGTATTTTGATAATGGAAGGTTGTCAGGTATCACATTAGCTTCTACATGTACTGTCCCTGTCCATGTGATTTGCAGCAACTTAAAATATTTCCTTGTGAGGCTTTTTGCATGGCTTACTGTTCCCCTCACATGAGCAGAAGGAAAGAACCATTATAAATGAGCATTGACTAAACATGTTCAAGATAAGAATTTTCATTTGTGTTTAAAAGTATTCGGTTTCCTGTTTCCCTTTGTTCTCAAGGGAATAGGCCGTGTTTTAATACAAGGGTCAGTAATGTCAGAACTGTTAGGAACTTGCATTTTTTCAGTTCCTAGATTTACCTGAGCTTTGCATAACATGCTCAGCATAAACTGAGTTATTTCATTGTTCTAATAGTTGCACATGAGGCATTTAAAGCCCTCTAAAGGTATCAATAGCTGGTTTACTTTTCCCTGCATCTAGCTCTGTGATACAGTTTTTTAATTATTTCCTTTTACAGGTTCCTTACAGCCTTTCCTGGAAGCCTGCAGTAACGAATCCTTCTTCCGTACTTGCTCTGTATTGCTTCGAAGTTCTAAGCTAGATATTCAGATTCTGGAAAAGCTCTGTGTTATACTGCAAAAACTCTCCAGAATAAAGTAATCCTTTATTATCACTATTCTATTAATTGTTATTAGATCAGCAAACTTACAGACCTTTATCTTTCTCCTTTTTCAAAAATTCATCTCTGTTTTGCTGTTTATTTGCTCCACCATAGACAATGCTGGGCTTTCTCTGTTAGCAGTTAAATTTAAACTGTTTGTGTCACAGATGTGTAAGACAAGACTCGCAATCAGTGTATAAGTCTAGTTTAATTTACAGAGTACAAACTAAAAAAACTCACCAAGCTAGCCTAAAGAGGAAATAATATTCCTTCTGTATGCAGATGACAAGAATGCTAAGAAGAGAAACCTTTTATTTCCCCCGACCTTCAGTTTTACTTGGGTACTTGCTAGTATTCTTTGAAAATTCAGCTTCATCTGTGACTTGCATTCAAGTTTCACCAGTTTCCATTTCCTTCAAAACCAAAATGTAAAGTCTTGAGCCACATAAACCCTTTTGGGAATGTTAATCTTTTTCAAATGTGTTCCCCGTTGCTCACTGGTTATTAGTTTATTGCAACAAAGGTCTTTTATCGTATCAGTAGTAATGTGCTGCTGAGCTCCATTGGTGCATTACTTAATGGGATTGTTTAATTTATAAAATCAGGTATCTAAACTGAGACATTTTTTACATTAGGCTTAAAGCTGTTGACAGAACTGAGGCTTTCATTTGACTTTATTAGGAACAAAATTGAAACCTAGGAAAAAAAAATATTTTACTGTAAAATAATATAAATCACAGTTTACATTGGAAATATACTAAAAGTAAAATTTGCTCAGAAGCCCTAGTTATTTAAAATTTATTTATTGCTTCTGGAATCTTATTTCACATGAGTGAAACCCAGTTACAGCCTTTTGTTGAGCTTTCATTATACTGCATGTAAATGCCACTTGCTCAAGTGAAATGAGAATTTTTGGTGATTTTTGCCAAGATTTTTCTCACCATGCATTGCTAACCTTCTGCTTAGAGACGTCATATACAACATAGATGAATTATATGAAACTCCCAATATAATGCATATTTTTCTTCATTAAAAAAAATAATTTTCTGTAGAGTCTTTAGTGTTCAGACGAAACCTCTCAATTTTCAACTAATAATTACTTTATGTAAAATCTTTTGCAGAAGCAATAGGAAGATGTTTGAATTGTTTACTCTTCACCAAATGATCCAGGAACTTCATAGGACTACAAATCCAGATCATGCTTTCCTCTGTATAAACCTCAATTCAATTCTGTTGAATTTGGGATTGTCAAGGAGTAACTCTCTTACCTCCAGTCTTAGCACAAGTCACTAGTACTATCTTTCAATCTGATTATTGTTCTGTATAATTTATAGCAGCTGCCTATGTTACTTGACAATTTGGATATATTTTTTTACTGTTTTATATAAATAAATTAAGCAGAACCTCATTACTGTTTAAATTACTCTGTATCGTGTGGAATCTCACTGATATTTCCCTCATTCTTAAAAAAGAAAATGAAAAATTGCATAATATGCTAAATGGCTTTCTTCAATACTTTTTAAAGAAGTGAAATAGTGCTGCTGTTCTGAATGACTCATGCAGTCTAAGGAATTGGATCCCTTGAGTAAGCAGATCAGAAATACCAACCTTTCCTTGCAGGTATGAATCTTAGTTACCTCTGACTCTTCAGAGAGTTTTATAAATTCATTTCTATATTTTATGATTGATAAGGAACAGACAGGTATCTTATCAAATTATCTTTTGAGATAGTTACAGTTATAATGATTCAAACTAGATTTTGATTTAACATAACTAGATGTGTTGAATGAGAAATTGTGTTGTTTTGATTTCAGAATGTCTTGATGCTTGTTTGATCGTTTCCTGTATTTATGTAACATTTAGTATTTTATCCTGCTTTGTATGAATTTCTAGGGTAACTTTGGGTTGTACTATCTCTGCAAATGTAAATAAAAACATTTCTTAAAATGCCTGGCAATAGTAATCCCTAATGTAAAATTATTGTATTTTATTGCTTCTGCTACATTTTGTGTTAATTTGCAATACAATCCTCATAGTACCCACATTTATTTTCTGCGTGTGATGAATATATTTTTTCTCTGCCACAGTTCCATGTTCAGAAGTTCTTACCCATAGGAAATAGGATACTTTTTAAAAATTCAACTTGGTCTTCTATTTCTAATTTCTGATTTGTACTGTAATTATTGGAACTCTTTAATTGTAAAATTGAAACTGCAGTTAAAATTGAAAGACCTGCTGTATGTTAGTCTTTGACTAACACTGGCAGTCAGTATAAAACTTCAGAGAAGCTTACTTCTCATCTTTATACTTTTGTTTTGTTTTGTTTTGTTTTCCTTTGTATTTTTTTACCAGAAGTCTTTGAACTGAGTCTTTGAAGTTGAATTCTAACTGCAAATATTTTTCTATTAATCTGACTTGCATTTCTGACAACCTTTCCTATGAAAGCAGTCTACAGCAGATTTGGCACCAACTGTGTCCAGAAGAGAGAGCAAGCAGTGTGTACTCTTTGGGCGGGAAACCAATTCTAGGTAATTTTTAAATAACACTAATCTTAGCTAAAAGGTTTTGCTGACAATGGATTATGTTTTGGAATATGTATTTCTTCATCAGCAGTTTCAGTTTTCTGTCAGATTTACCAGCAGTGCAAAAACTTGCATATAGCTTTCACTGGAGACAAAATCCTCTTGTTTAGGAAGTGTGTTCCCAGTCTTCATGTACTTCTCCATCTGTTGGTCATTAAAAATACTAGAAAATTAATAACCAAAAAAGCTACATAAAGTTGTTAGGTTTCCTATATCCACAGGAATGTTGATTTTGCTCTTGGCTTTCAGCCTTCATCACTGTTTGTTAATCTACTCATCTTCCTTGTGGTACCAATTTAACACAATGTGTTCATCTAATAAAGGCAAAAGTAGAAGGAGGCGCCTATAGTATGCTGCAGCTTTTACTGTTGGTCCCTTGTGTTCTGTATGCAGTAGTGTTTACAGTCTGAAAAGATGAATCACTGCTAATTTGAAGTTTTTATGATCTAGAACATTTCTGTTAAAATGAAAAATAAAAGTTTTCTGAATCTGTTAAATATTAATGCAATTAAATTGATTGTTGACCTAAGGATGAGGCTGATGATTTTGATCTTAAGTAAATCTTAACTGAGCCGTGAAGAAAAATACAAGTTCTTGATTTCACGTTCATATTACAGTAAACATAAAAAGTATCAAAAATAAGTGAATTGTGCAAATGAATATGAAGTGTCTTGTGAAGAATAGATACTTCCATAAATAAGGAAACTATAGGAAAGTTCCAAAATGTGCATGTGATTTTTGACTCAGGGTAATAATTCTTGGGTAAAAAATGAAAGTAACAAATATGCTCTAGTAGAGTCATATGGAGGCTAGACTTGCGATGGTAGAAGTGAATTTTTTTGAAGCCAGTTGTTGACAGACAGCTTATAGTTCCTTAGCACATTGTCATAAAACTTCTCAATGAATATTTTTAAAGAATGTAAACCATGCTGTGATTTTCCAAAATTTATTACTAATCAGTCCTGTTAATGCAGAAATATTTATGAAGGCTCCTAATATCTGGAAAGGTAAAACAATGATGAATTTGTAATTGGTTCTATTTGCCAACATATTTTCTGTTTCTGTTGGATTGTATCTTTAAATGTGCATGAGACATGGCCTATAAATAAAAGTGAAAAGATTGTCTTACAACAACATGATTTCAGGATCGGAGACTTCAAGAAGAGTAAAATGTCAGTCTACCAGACGTGGAACTAAAATGAATGGAAATAATAAACAGAAATGGAGATTTTAGACCTATTCTGTTTCAATTTGTAGTTGATTATCTGGAGTAACTAAGCTAACTAATAATGATGTCTACATTAGAAGCATAGGTAACCTAGCTTGCCTTTATCATTAACAGGCAAAAGTAGGTTCTAGGATAAATACTGTACCAAAAATCACAGTTACTTCTATATTTCTGCTTCTAAATATTAGGTATCTTAAAGTTTGTACACACCTGCTTATTGCACTGCCTTGAACATCAGTCCTGTGGGCCAACCCGCCCCAGTCTGTGTTGTGGCCTTGCTCAGACACCCCCATCCTGTTCTCATTCCCCTCAGTGACCTTGGCAGTCTCTGTGGGGAAGGGGAGCTGAGAAAGTTGGTTGCATTCCCCGCTGGCTTTCGTGGGTTTGGTTTTGGTTTGGGAAGGGTAGATTTCAGTCAAGTTGGTCACACTTTGGGCATCTCTTTATATAGTCTTGCCTTCTCAGATGGAACCTACAATTTTCTGGTTTTTTTTCGGGTTTTGTAGCATTTGAGTACTATGAGTATGAATTTCTACTATTTTATCCTTCTCTCAGAAGACTGTCTACAACAAGAGACATTTGAAAAAGTTAACTGTAACTCCAGCTATTTCCTGTGGTTCCCGATTCCCTAGGGAAACATTGTTTATGTGATCACTATCTTAATTCCTGAAAAGGAATATGCTATTTTGAATATGCCAGCCACCTCTGGCCAAATTTGGCAGCAGGCAAGAGAATATTAATTTTCAACCATTTTTTTGGAGTGAATTTGAGGAGGAGAGACAGACCTTATGAACACTTGCATTTAAAAGAAGGGCAGGGACTCACACCTTCTGGGAGCAGCCAGCTGATCAGTCAGAACACACAGCTTCGAACTCTCTACAGTCTGCCATGTCTTGCTTGTGTGTAGGTCTCCAGGAAGGATCAACTACTATTACCAGCATGAAACAAAGAAATTTTCTGGTAGTCCCAACCTGTAACTTTAAAGGAAGACAAAAGATTGACCCCCAGTTTTATACTGCTATTTTTTGGGACAGCTGTGAGAGTCCTTGTTGGGAAAGTCAACAAGAATATTGCATCAGATCATGTTAGGATAGTTTTCATCCCAGAAAAGGAAGGTTACCAAACTTGAAGAGAATTTTTTTTTTTTTTCACAAACCCATGTAGCATATATTTGTAATTGCCCTTGCTGTTTATCAAAGGTTTCCTATCGATAAATGGCCAAGACAGTGTTTCAGACCTGATCTACACAGTCTAGATTTGTCAAATCTGTAAGAAAGATCATTCCCTGGACAGAGGACCGTTGTATTTGTGAAAGCTTGGCAGATCTAAACAAAGTAGGCTAACATTACCCAGCCTGCGCCGTTGCGCTCTGTTTCTTCATGTTTTTTGACTTTTACCAGCTGATAAAAAGTCTGTCTGTTAAAGTAGGATTTTGCAGTTATCTTCTGGTTCTCCTCAATCTGACTGGCTTGCATCTTTTCTAATGTTATATAACCGAGTTTAATCTATTATGGGGAAAATTTTCTTGTAGCAGATAAATTAACCTGGAAGGTGAAAGTATGCTGAAGGCAACATATTTTTGAAGAACTTTTATTCACAATCAGCATCAATGTCTAAAATACATGATTTAACTTACCAGACCAGATTTAAAAGGAGCTGTAAGTAGAGCTCATAATTCAGAGCTATGACACTGGATCCGTTAATTATATACTGAATTTTTCACCTAAAACTTATAAAGCTTCAGGGATTGATGGTCTAATAGAAAGCATTTATCTTCAGGATAAGATATTTAAATGTAGTCCAGAAAGTCTGAAAATTTGATCTATGAAACAATTTGGTAATCATCTACTTTCCAAATGGTTAGAGGAACTGCAGTGACAAAGCAGTTGACCCCCTGTGCTCTCCTTAATGATATAATGCTCATATGTTTTTAAAACTCACAAAAATTATTGTAAAAGTAGTAGTGCTGTGCAGTGTTGTGATCCACACTGACTCTTTTATTTTGCTGCGTCAAAACCATGCCCTATCCATTGTCAAAAATAGATGTGTTTTGGGCTGATGAAAACCTTTAATGCCGTCTTCTGACCATAGTTAGGAACATTCCTGTTTATTAGACTTTTGGTTTTCACGTAATTTTGAAAACAAGCGTCTTGTATATTTATGACTACATGATCAGTACTCGAAGAGATAACTTTGAACAAAACCGCTTACTGTTTACTTGCTTGTAGCTTTTTTTTGAGTGAATGGTCCTGAGTTGAAATTTAACAAGACATAACCCACAAGACATTCTGATCTCTAAAGTCACACTGAGAGAATTACCTGAGAAAAAGAGATCAGAGAAGCCATATATATATATATATATATATATATATATATATATATATATTTGTTTGTTTGTTTCAAAAAATTCTCTCTGTGTCCATTACTCAAGGGTATTTAGACTGGTCCCAAGGAATATTTCCCTGAATATACCACATCTGATCACTGCAACTTGATGTTAGGTAACTTCTCTGACAGATGTACCCAAGCTAGGGCTGCAAACTCAGTGGCCAGGATAATGCTAACGACAGTAGCTATGAAAGCTCAGCATAGGATAACATTCCTATTAATAAGTTTACTATAAGGTCATCTTCAGCTCCATAAAATGGGATCCTCGCTGCAGTTAGTTATGGAGAAAAGAAATAAAAATTATCTATCGAGCTTACAGGAAAAAAGTATCATGTGGTGGAGGTTCAAACAGGAGCATAATATTCCACCCACACATCAGCTTTTTAGCAAAGTAGTATGCCTTTGAAGAAGGCTGGGGATAACTGGTGTTGCCAGACTGGTTTTGTCCTTCAGAAGAAACAGTATTCTAGTATGCGGATTGAAGAGCTATTTATATAAGAAATGCAAATGAACAGAATTTCTCTGTTCCCCGATCCTTCCCACAGTGTAGCAGTTTGATGTCCTCCTGGTTTGTCCTCCTCCATACTGAAGTGTGACTATGACATTTTTTCACAGCAGGCTTGCACACCAAGGCCAAATGCCAGAAACAGACGCCTAACTCTGCTTCCTTCCTGTTTCAGTTCTCTTTCTACTAATCAGTCTTCAGTGTTACCTCCTCCTGATTTTTCATTTACTTCTGTGTGGTGACTTAAACTGGAA